ATTTTTAAGGTTCGATGCATTTTTAATTATTCATGATAAAATAACGTTAAAAAGTCAGTATCTGGATAATTTTTAGAAGTAGGCAGTACCTGCAAATATTTTTGGAATTGAAAGCAGAATAAGGTCAAACGTCAATTAGTTGACAGTTAGTTTTGTTGTCTGTTGAAAAACATTTTTTTGCAATTGTGAATGCACGAAATTTAGTTTCTTTTACCTGTTTTTTTTTGTAAGTTTTATAAAAATGCCATTTTTATTCTCCAGTCAAGAGTTAGCGGATATTCATTTTGTGTATGGCTTTGTAAATGGAAACGCAGCAGAAGCAGCCAGAGAATACGCACGAAGATTTCCAAACAGACGACATCCAACTCGCTCAGTATTTGCAAGAGTGCATCGCCAAATAATTGAAAATGGTTTTGGAAATCTCCAAAGGGATCAAAACATAAATGTTCGTCAGCGCAGATTTACCCGTATGATTCTGCGTGAGTTTGATAGAGATCCGACCACAAGTGTTAGGAGAGTTTCTGGTGCCTTGGAAATTTCAGCAAGCCATATTCACCGTGTTCTTAGAAATGGCCATAGACGTCCTTACCACTTGCAACCTGTGCAAGGACTACAGCCAGGGGACGGAGAACGAAGAATCACATTTTGTCAGTGGATTCTTGATAGAACTGATAATAATAGGGAGTTTTTAAATAACGTTTTATGGACCGATGAGTCATGCTTCACTAGACGTGGAGTGGTAAATTTTCATAGTCAACATATTTGGTCGCATGAAAATCCGCATGCAGTTCGGGAAAGAAATTTTTAGCATGAATTTGGTGTGAACGTAATCGACTATTTGGACGCTACCTTTTGCCTGCAAGGAAATGCTGCGACCTTCTTGGAATTTTTAAAGGCTGAACATGCAAATATGTGGGATGATGTTATGTTAGATTTAAGGAGATTGGCCTGGTTCCAACTTGATGGTTGTCCAGCTCATTATTCGAGAATAGTTAGAAACTGGCTGGACGAAAATTATCCAGAATGACAGATCGGCCGTGGAGGAACAGTCGCCTGGCCTCCAAGATCCCCTGACCTAAATCCATTAGAGTAGTAGAACAACATCGATTCTAACTCACTTGGTAACCCATCCATCAGGTTCTGTTCTGTTTGCCCTCTATTTGACCTTGGGCATCTGAAGACTTTGCAGACATGCAAGAAGTGTATCGCCAATGACCAGAGGGTGAGATGTGCCAAAACGTGACGTCATGTATGCATAAAAAAAAAAGGCCTAAATACCACGTGACCCACAAAAGTGAGTAGTAGTAGTGGTGATTGAGAAAAGCTTTATGCATATGCAAGAGACAAGCCTCGCCTAGCCAAGCCTAATTTAAATCATCCTCAAGTCATAATAATAATAATACTAATAATAATAATATGGGAAGTAAATGAAACGACGGCGGTAGTGTGATATTGTATTCATTCCAATTTTTGGTTTGAAGCATTAGATATAAGATTCCAATTAAATAATAAATGAACATTTTCTAAAGCACAATGCATATTATTATACAAATGTTTATAACAATGTTTGTACTGGAATATCTTCTTCAGCTTGCGAAGATTTGGGCATCCTATGTCATGTAGATCGGTGATGTGATTAGTGATGAGTCTTTCCAACCATTGTTGTTTTGAGCGTCCTTTGACAAAAATTGGTTCATCGTGGACATTTTCTTTAATGAACGATGTCAATTGTTCATAATGAAGACATGACTCTTCAGAAGGAGATAGATCCCAAGGAATTCCATGTAAATTGTTTACAGTCCAGTTGATATGTGACTGGGTGCTACTGTTGAGCATTGTAAATTCTGCAGGTAGATTAACTAATTTGTGTTGCCAGTATCCCGTTGCAGTATCCATGATAGCAATTTCTTTGCAAATGAAATTGGATCCACAAGTAAAGCCTTGAACGTCGATAATGATCATTTTTTTTTGTTTTTTTTGTCTGTTGAATGTCGAATGCAAACGCTGCACAAGAAGACTGTATATGAACTGAGATTATTTGTTAGGTAATATTCTTTTTATGTATCCAGCTGTCATGTTTCTTATCGAATCCCAACCATCTGACTTTGATATGGTCTCCTTTTTTTTCCAATATTTTTTCTATAAGATAAACATCAGGATGTTTTACCTTTTGTAGTTGTTCTGTATAAAAGCCTCCTAAAATATGTTGATTTTTTTCATCTTTCAACAAATATGTAATTGGATTAGTTAATGTTACTTTTCGTATTGTGAAAATTTCAGGTGACCAATTTGGTTGATATTTTTTGTCAAAAACACCTCTTATTTTAGAAATGCGTACATGATCACCTACTTTGAATTTTGTTTCCAAGTTTACAATTTTCAAGCGATTATATACAGTAGATAACAGCCTTCTTTCATCCTTCTTTGTGACATCAGCTGGTTTCATTTGAATAGTTCTATGCTTCTTATTGTTATATTGTTCTACCAGTTTTGGTAAAATACTTATCCATTTATAATTTCCCTGCAGACTGAACTCTTTCCACATCATATTTTTTAAAGTTCGATTTACTCTTTCGACAATGGCTGCCTTCTTTTCGCTGAATGTATTGTAGTGATTGATATTATATTTCTTCATTAGGTTTTTAAAATCATTATTGAAAAATTCCAATCCAGCGTCTGTTTGTAGATTCTTAGGTGTTTCTTGTTTTAGTACACTTTCCATAGCTTTTGTTACCACTTTACCTGTTTTATTTTGTAAAGGTAAAGCCCAAACAAATTTCGAAAAACAATTTATCACAACCAGTATATATTTATTGTTTTTATTTTCCCTCGAGTATGGTATCATTTCTACAAGATCTGCTTGGAAAAGATCGTGTAGAGATTTCACAATGGTTTTTCTTCTTTTGAAATTTCTGCGTGCAGGCTTATGTAGTTCTTCAACAACTTGGCGTTTTATGTTCGTTTTATGTGTTTTAACCATTATTCAATATATTTACTTTCCCTTAATTCCTCAACTAGCGAATTAATCTCATTACCATGACCTGAGTGACCGGCAGCCTGTGATGCAATCAATAAGCGTAGACGACTTACAAGTTCATTAGGATCATCCCAGTATATATAATCCTTATCATTGCTAGAATATTCCATTGTCGTGGTAATATTTTTATTGTTCATTAATCCTTGACCCATTTTTAAAGGAGGTGCTATGATTTTTTTATATTTTTGTAGTTTACTCCCATCCAATTGAGTATTAGATCTGTAGTACCTTCTGTGGGCATTAGTTTTATATACAATTTGCCTGTAGGTATTGACATCGTCAGAACTGCAGAAATTCATGTTGGGATATTTTCTAAATAACAATTCGTATAAGCCTTGACTACCCTTGTACCGTTTACCTTTCACATATATATCAGCACCATTGAAGTCTAGTTTAGAATCACCAATCATAAATTGTTCAATAGTGTCATCCAGCCTGACGCCATACTTATGATCAAATTCTCGATTATTTTTGTCTGCATACATTTCACTAATGTATTTTCTAGGTAACGGGTCCTCATATTGTTCTAAGTATTCAGTAAATGACTTTTCTGCAATATCATCAAATCTGTTTCTATTAGCAACATTATCATTACCCGATCCAGTCGAATCATTGTCTTCATAATCAGAATTTATACCGTCTATGATTGATTTTTTTATGCTGCTTGGTGGATCATCGTCATCATAATCAGAGTTTTCCTCACTGTTAGCGATTGTCCTTGTTCTTGGTGTCACTGATTGAAATGATAATAGTTTTCTTTTACGTGCTTCAGACATAGCTTTAGGAGTTTCCCATGCTGCCCCCCCTTCATTAGATGCGAATAGTTTTGTTTCAGGCCTTATGTCAGCTTCAGCTACTGTATAGGAACGTGGTGATGTTGGTGGTGGTGAGGTACCAGGTACCGTGTTGGTATTATTTTGAAGTTTAGATTCGATACTTCTCAAATGTTTTGTAATGGGATTGTACAAGGCTTCTTGTAACATTTCTCCATGTTTCAGTTGATACAATTTTCTTCGAACATTTTGACGCTTCAATATAAGTCTTTCTTTGAGACTTCTTCCAGTTGAAAGTTTTCCCATAGGTGCTAATTAGACTTCGATCAGGTGGTGAACGGCTTGTGATCAGGTGATGATCAGGTTTTCATCAGTTGTCGATCTGTTCTGAACGCATCGGATGAGAATTATCCATATAAATAAAATGATCTATACCCTTTCTATATCGACCGTTGTCAATGTTACAGTCTTTAAATATGACTAAAAAATCATATGAATTTTCCCAACATACAGTGCATATACGTTTAAAATTATCAAATGACATATCTGAACCAACATGATCATTATATATATGTTTTAAGTTTAAATCATCCTGCTTGAAAAGTATAATGATATTGGCATTATCCCTTATTAGATGTTTAGGTATTTTTGCATATGTTTGACACAAGTAGAAAGAATCTATACTGTTATGTCTTCCCATGCTGAAATATTCTCTGATAACATCTTGATTATCGCATGCGACATCATCAAAAATAAATATGGAATTTGGTTTGGCATCTGAAGGGTGTAAAATGTTGTCACTAGCATTGAATGGAAAATATTTTATCCCTTTTATTGGTGTTAATAATTCTGCCAAATATGTATATTTTGGTTGATACAAAGACTTTGAATACACATAAACATTTTCAAATTTTAACCCGTTTTCATGTTCAACTAAATTGATCATAAGATTTGTTTTTCCGCAATTAGAAGGTCCAACTATAATACATCGCAACGTTGAAGGAAACAGCTCGCCATGTTTTTTGATAGACTTATCTTTGAATATATCATTGTTGTCAATATCTAATGTTGTTTTTTGTTTAACAATTTTCATCTTGTTCAAATAGTACTGCACTGCAGCAACAATGAAACTGATTACAGCGCGTGAATGTATTCCTTTTTCAAACCATCTCTTAATGATGAAAAGGGGAGGGAAGGGGAGAAATAAAGAAAGGATATTTTTGAAGACGTATTTATTGTTTTAATATTTTACCCAATCTGTTCTTTTTTCTTGGATGCCGGGTCTCGCTTGAAAGCATACAGGACAAAATCTGACAAATACATTCTGTGGTTCCCAGCCATTTACGGCGGTCGCTGGTCGTTCATGTATAATTTTTCCACATACACCACATCTGGTCACCTCGATGACGTGTGCTATAGCGTATGTCCAACTTCTCTTTCTTTGGGGTCCTTTTCTCGAATAAAAAGATTTGCCACGAATCCATCCGCTCTCTTGCCGCCACCGCTCATCAGACATCCTTTCTAGTCGTCCTTTGTTGTTGTGTTGGTTTAGGACTTGGGCATTTCCTCGTCGCAATACAGTTCCTCGTCGCAATACAGCTCCACTTGTTTGTATTGATGTAGTAGTTGTTGTTGTTGTTGCTGATCTGATGCCGTTTGTCCTATTGAATGCTTTGCCACCGATTCTCTACAAAAACAAAAGTAATGTCTACAATTGTCACAGAACTGAGTTCCTGAGTGAGTGCTGTTGTTGTTGTTGTTGTTGTTGTTGTTGTTGTTGTACTGTCTCTTAGAAATAGTCGTTGGTCGTATTCGTTTGTTGGGTTTCGTGTAGTGGATTTTTTGAAATCTTTTTTTTGAACTTAGCACGTTCTACAAAAAACAAAAAAAAGAATACATATATATATATACTTACATTTTATTGTGTGTGGCTAAAGTTAACGTGGTTGTAGATTAATTCTATGGACAAAAACAGACAAAGAGATAATGAAATGTAGTGAAATTAAAAGTAATCATGATATCCCCATGGTTTCGTGTCTGTATAAATATAGTTGACAATTCTTTTATCGTCATATGGACTCAATGCAATTTTTTGTTGGGAAATTGTGAATACATCATGCAATTTCGAAATTATGGACTGTTGGGTTAAAGCTACTTGAGTATTTTGGAATAAACATTTATGGTAATCATCAAACGTTATTTCCTTCAGAGCTGACTTCTGAATTCCTTTAGCTTTTTTAATAACATGCGAGTCTTTTTCTTCACCTGGCTCAGGTAGAAGTCTCAAAGCATACATTTTTGAACGCAACCCAATAAAATGTGTCATTATTCGACCTTGATTTTCATCCTTCATTAAACCTAAGACTTTTTTATTTTTCAATGGAATTCTAAAAGCGTTATTTTCTGGATAATCGGATGTATCAAACCTATCAATGTCTTTTTTGATGTGTTCGTAAATGTCACAATATTTGTAAACTGATATATTAAGCTATCTGTATCAGTATATAGCAATTTTGAATCATCTTTGAATTTGTGTTTTATGTAATTGTAATGAAAATCATATATATAAGTTTTAGATATGTCCAATATTGACATACCTATAAAAATTGGTTTGTTTAATGTAGCTTTCAGTCTGTTCATTTCAATTATGACCATATCTTTACTAAATATAGTGCAGCTATGAAAGTTAGGTTGTGCAATGTAGTATCTTGCACCATATCTTCCTGACCACTTAGTTACCAACTTGATGTCTTTATATTTCCTAACATTTTCAATCGTTTTGCCATAAGGGGAATTATTCATTAATTTGAAAAAATTTTTCTCGAAATCATTCTTACTTTGCTTTCTCAGCTCTGTATTGAGATCAATGTATTTTTTTAACCAAGCTGACTGTTTGAATCTCAAACAACGATGAACTTTTCTGATGACAATACCCTGTTGCGTAGCTTGTTTTAGTAATGTATAATGGACGACATACTTTTGTTTATCGTACAAAGTTGTTAACAATTTTGGTTTATCAGAATACGAAGTAGGTGGTACTAAATGCTCAGGACATATTGGCAGATCTTTGTGTAGATCGCGTAAATGAAGAGGATAATGTAGATCAACTTCTAGGATGTACCCATATTCATTTTTCTCATCGCTCAAAATATTTTCAATAGAGATGTTTTCAATTGGAATCCATTGAAAATCCCCATATGGTAGAGAATGTGACATTGCAGCTCCATATAAGTTATTTATATCGTAGTACATCAAAAACGAAGTTGGTAAATCAGGATTATATTCACTATTCATATATTTATTGTTAGCCTTACCGTACCTGTTAGAACATTGAGATATACCTCCTCTGATACCTTTTTCTATGAATAAAGCCATATCACTGTCAGTCAACAGCTCTATTTCAACATTAGTGACTTTAAGCATAGCATCAAAGGCTAGACCTGGCGTAGTATAATAGTGCAATGCATCTAAATTGTATGTCTGCATACACATTTGACGGAAATTTTCGAAAACATCACAAAGCAGCAAAACATCAGTTTTTAAGTATAATTCAGCGTATTCCTGAAGATCTTTAATGTTAAATGCCTGCCAAACATTTAGTGCATGCTGATAGTCATCAGTCGAAATAGCTTCGTTTTTGACTGTGCTAAAAAAATCGTCTTTTTCTGGCAACTTTGTATCTTTTAATTTCTCCCATGAATTTAGATATTCATAAGGAAAAACCCCCTTCTTTGTTACCAACTTAAACTTAGCATCTTCAGGAAAATGTTCCCTTACTATTTTCTTTTGATGATGATCTAGATATGATGATAATTTATCCAGACTACTAGGTAGGAACCGGAAGGAATCAAGAAATCGAAAACTGATTTTAGTACCGGCAATGGATTTTGTAAACGAAATATAACGCTCTTTATTTAAAGGTAATAAAGTGAGATTGCCCTTGATATCAGTGCTGAGAGCTTTGATTATGAAATGTGCATCGTATCCAGAAAAATTGTGGAACAACACAGGTACAATAAGTGAATTTGAATAGTTCAAGTTGCAAGACATATGTACTGCTCCTCTATATTTACCTGTGAAGTGACAATGATCTCTAGCTTTCACTTCGTGTTCATCAAAAGGTTTCTCACAAATACTACAACTGGAAGCCAATCGGAAAAGTTTCTGCTCAACACTGGTCAGTTTTAATGGTTCTGCTTCCTGATAAACTTTATGAAGTTCATTGGCAATGTTGAGCAATTCATTAACAAACCAACTTTGACAATCAGCACCCGTATGCAATCTAAACTTGGAAGAATATTTATTTCCATAATTCGACTTAAGATAATAAGCTACGCTGAAAGCCACGTGCTTTTGACACTTTTGTGTCTTGCTTGCACTATTATCATCAGCATTATCATTATAATCCATTAGTATACTTTCAATATCTGCATAAATGGTAAAAGGAACACATAATTTATTGTGAAAGTTTTTAAATTTCATAATATTATTAGTTGCATTAGGCATAACGATCTTAGTGCTGTTAAGCTGTTTACAATCTTCAGAATGCTTACTCAAATAAGCTTCACTTGAAAAATAATTTAGACACCTTTCACAAATCCATTTTTTGTGATCTTTCCAACCTATTTGTCTACATATTAGGCGTGACAAATTTTTTATATACGCAAAATGATAAATAGTGTCAGCATTCCAATTGCAAACATCATTATTGGAAAACATAAGTAAATTGATTTTTGGCGTGAAATTAGTTTTACTAAGTATCAATGGCACAACTTCATTCATTCGATTGCCTACGAGTGTGAAGACATTTATCGCTAGTTTGTTCATAATCTCAAATTTGGGTATATCTTTCAAATGTATAGGAAATCTAATATTGTCGTATTTCAATACTCTACTGAAATGAGGATATGATGATTGTCGTGCTACATTTTTTTCTGCAGGATACAACGCGCTTACAACTGACCACAGAAAGCAGTAATTATCATTATTTTGAATATTGATGACACTTTTTTTCTTTTTATAAATGTTGGTGTAGGAACATAAGTTGAAACACCAACATTTATGGGACAAAATCTATTAATATTCACTTTCAAATGTAAAATTTCCAACAAAGCCCATCCAGAATCACGTTCTTGGAATTCTTCTAATTTTGTTAAAACTTGATCAGTGACATAAACTTTATACCACTCTTTTAAATTGGTATTTTTATCGATTATATTATTTTTTGTAGCAAAATGTTTGATCGATCTTTCAGCAGTCTGAGGTTTAATGAACACACTATAAAAAACAACGTTACATTTTAACATACAAGTATCAAGCTGTTTTCTTATTTGTATCGCAAAACTTTTGAACGCTCTCTTGAAAAATAATTTTGGATCTTTTATTTTCAAATTAACTATAACGCCTGACTTAATTCTATTGTTAAAGCATGATTCCACATTTTCCCAAACAAGTTCTCTATTTTTGTTTTTACGATTTATTTGACATCTGAAAATTGCAAGGTAACTCTTAAGAAGTGACAAATTAGACTCTATTTTTGAAAAATTTTTAACACAATCATACCTATGTTTGATACAATTATCAAGCATTCTAATACATTTTTTAATCTCTTTACTATAAAAATTGTAATCTGTTTTTGTCCTAACTAATCTACTCACCATTTCTATTCTTCTAACAAATTCGTCAGACATGGCATCGATTACTTTTTGGCTACTCATTTTGTTTCTTCGGAGATCTGTGCAGATGGTTAAACGTGAGATCACTGATGATAACTGTGCTCAAGATGCTTCCTTAAATACAGTGAAAATCTAACAAACATGCCTATTTTTTCACTGATACTGAATCATACATAAATAGATACTATATTTTGTTTGGATAAACATGCACATCTGCAGAAAAATCTAATTTTTCCCTTGATATGGAGAATGACGTAGATGATGATTACCGTCGTCGTCGTCCTTGTCCTGACATTGGATATCAATTAATTTTGTTTGGAAAAACATGCACACATGCAGAAAAATCTAATTTTTCCCTTGATATGGAGAATGACGTAGATGATGATTACCGTCGTCGTCGTCCTTCTCCTGACATTGGGTATCATGCAATTCTGGGATCCTACGATTTTGTTTTTGATCATAACATCCATCTTACATTTCTATGCAGTTGATATGGATGATTTTTTCCTCAAATATCTGTATAAATTGCTAGTGTGTGTAGGCAGTCAGTATCAGTTTCAAGTGAAAACTCATCGAACTGCTACTCTAACTTACAATGGCAACAACACCAACAACCATAATTGTGTTCACGGAAGATCCAGTGAATTTACCGATAAATGACCTCTTGTTGGTCATAAAGGAATTATTTCAGTAAGTAACATTATATATTTATCTTTTGTTCTCTCTCTCTCTCTCTCCACTGTTTTGCTATTGCTATTGTGTTATTATTATTGTTGTCCTTCTGCACATTATGGTAATGTTGTGGATGGATGGATGGATCATGTTTGAAGACACTCTAAAAGCATCCCAAAAGAAATAAAACAATCACTTGGTCTGCCAGTAGATATCAAGTTCTATTCATCATATCCTCAGAGCTAAATTATGTTAAGTCACAAAAGTATTATTGCGAGAAAAACATGAGTTTACAGGGTTTTTTTTTTTTGTATGGTTTTATTTGATTGCAATTGCACGATTTGCAATTGGAGATTTAAATCAGATATTCAACAATAGTTTACTTTTAGGTCTGAGATACACATATTATATTATTCTTATTCTTTTTCTTTTTTCAACAGATACGGTGTCAGAGAGATTAAGGCCAGTGGTGACAAAATATTTGTTAAATTGACCTACTCCCCAAGAGCAGCGACGTTAAAGCGGAAATTCGGCTTGCTGCCTATCAAATATCTTCGAACTAAATTGGATAAAGATGCAGAATTCCAAGTATTAGAACGAATAGTTAAAAAATATAGATTTAATTTATTAGACGAGCAGTTAGAAGATATTAATAGGCAGCAAGCGATAAAGGATCGACCAGGGACAAGTGGTGGTGGTGGTGGTGGTGGTGATGGTGGTGGAAGTATGCAGAAGAAGAGAAAATTGTATCTAGAGCCACCTGTCCTGCAACATGTGGAAGAGGATGAGGATGATGAGGAGGAGAAGGAGGAAGAGCATGAGGAGCAGCCCAGGCAGATGCATACGGTTGGTGCAACACCATCATCAGCAGCAGCAGCAGCATCAACCTCAACTGGTAGACGTGGTGGTGATGGTGGTGGTGGTGATAATGATGATGATGACATCTTGTTATTATCACAAAATATATTTTGAATAAAAAACTGATTTCTTCACAACTAATGTTTTATTCACAGAAAAAAAAAACACACACACACATACATACATACATACATACACACATACACACTGTTTCTATACAATACAAGTTCAACATATTTTTCAAAAAACTTTTACAGTACTATTTAATGGATTATATTTTACAAGACGATCATGTAATATCAGACAAAAGGCAGTAGTATTAGGTGGTATATTTACTGCCGTTTCAAATTCCAATCTAATATCAACAGAACCCGATTTTAGTGTCTCGTTTTGCCTACTACAGTCAATAACAAAAAGCGGGGTTGCATCAATGAACTGTTTCAAGTTTTGACACGGCTCACTGGAATTTCTATAATAATAAGACTGCTGAAAGTTCACATACATTTCATACAAGATACTAAAATAATTTCTGCTCATATTAAAAGTTACATTGTCATATGGATAAATTTCAGAATTCAAAAATAATTTGATGTTGCTCAGGTTACAGTGATCAAAGTGACTCAAGTTTTTAGTCAGCTGTCCTTTCCGATCAGTTTGAAAAGCAACAATAACGAAACGTGGTTTTTCCAATTGATTGGTAGCCTTGACATTCCATGTATGTTTATTTGTCTGTTGTAAAACGGGGTACTCATGCAACTCCCAACTCCGGAATGCTAGTTGTAAATCTCTTCCTTTCTCTATGTACTTCATAAGGTGTAATTTTTCGGTATCAGCAACTTGAATGTGTGGAATTCTCCATAGTATTCTGTACAGATCTAAATGAGGTTTCTCGCTAGATGTTGAAGTTATAATTGCATTCACATCTGTGGAGCTTCTTATAAGGACCAATTCCTGTCTGATGTTGATTAGTACTTTTTTAAAGTCTTCAAAAAAACCCATGAGATTTTTCAGTGGAATCGTTACACTAAAATAACCTTCACTGTTCCGTATTTCGGGTAAATCTTGATGATTCCAGCCTGCATGTTGGTAACTATTACCTTCATTGTTTGTGAAAGATACCAGTCCTTTAATAGTGGTTGTTATACCAGGATTGCGAACTCTATCAACAACTATACCTCCAATTTCATATCGCAATTCATCAAATAAAAATGATACAAAATTATTTACGAGGCGTAATGTTGGTGACCATTTCTTCTCCTTTGCCTCTACTAATCTTCCTTCAATGTACAGTGAGCTATTACAAGGTAGTGTATAGATATCTTGTGTTTGTATTGGTATTCTTATTTCATCTGAATTATTGAAAGTTGTATTAGCGTATGGTGGATGGCTATGCATTTCACAATTGGTAATTGAATTATCCATAAGAATATTTTCACCTATGTTGAGAATATTAAAGCTCATCTTTTTTTCTTTGTTTTATCAAACAGCTACACTTGAGATGGATGAATAACTTTTGTAGTTCAGAATAAATTGCTAGTTTTATGCGTAATATCAATCCGGCAGTCCTGCTGCTGCTGCTGCTGTTGCTACTATTAATGTCACTATTGACTGTTTGTTCTTGAAATTCGTTAGCCACACTTATGCAATCACCTTAAAGCCAAGCAACTGTAGAAATTGTATATTTTCAGATGTTAATGTCTTGCTCTCTTGTTTGCTACTAACTGTTTTACCAACATGAATCTCTTTATCAATAGGTGTTGATCTGTTTTGACCTTTAAAATTGCTGTTGTTGGTGCTATTGTTGTTAGCTGAACTAAACGGTACTGCAATATTGTAAAAGAATACCATACTAAAGCTCCCTCAAATGTACTCTTATCGTTACCACTTCTCCTTTGAAATTAACCAAATTTCCGTCTTGATCCACTACTTTAAGCACTATTTCATCAATATAATGGCTATTTATTGGTAAATAGATGACATTTGATACTTTTTCTATTATGCGATATCCACTAGGCACGTTAGGGTAAAACATATGCAACGTGTGAACAGCATGATCATTTCTAAAAGAATTCGTTATCAGATTACATTCCACACATATAGAGTTCACTTTGGAAACATTTACAGGAAAATCTGAGATGTGTAGTTTGTGTGGACTTAATTTCCTCTTTCTAAACCCTAATAACTCGCCTATTGTACCATTTTGCTCAAAATCAATTAGTCGGTTGCTTTTAATTTCAAACCGTAAGGTATTTAAATTACTTCGCATATGGAGTTGTATGTCAGTTTGTTTCTCATCATCTTTGGTAATTGCATTTGAATTTAGAGATCGTTTCTGTGGTTTCTTTTTTTTAATTTCACTTACCCTTGGTTTTATTCTCTCGTTAAGAAATGCTATAATGTCTTTTATTTCATAACTACCTTCGGGAACTGTTAAAACCTCATCATCAATATGGAACTTATTATTTGTTATATCTATGTTGGGTATTGTGTTGAAAGTTAAAAAATCAATAAGTCCTAAAGCATACGTTTTACTACTGTCGAGTACTATAGGTGGATATATTTTAGCTGATAACACAGACTCTCTAGCAGATAAAGTAAACGTATACATCATACAGATATGAACCGATTAATAGCCATACATGAAATAAACAAGTGTCATTATGATAAGCAGTATTTATTCACTTTTGAGAAAACGTAAACACAATTGACCACAATTTATAGTATTAAATCTTTGAAATACATTATAATTGTACTGTACTCTACAGGGTCCACTAGAATTAAAATATACAATTGCTTCGAATGGTGGTTCTAAGTTTCCATATGTATCCAGGTAAACCACTAAGTTTCCCTTTTTCTTATAAGCAGTCCAGTGGGTACCTGGTCCCGTAGATGTATCCAAATTCATAATTCCTCTTTCATTGGTTTTTATTTTTTTTGGAAGTTTATCTCGCATGAAGACTCCTCGAAAATACGGTATTTTTAAACGTTTTGCATACCTTTCCAGCTCAACGTTTGTTAATGGGTGACCATTTGGAATTGAAACTTTAGCCACTTGTTTTGTTTTTTTCAGTGACATTTTCCCTTATCTCACTACTGGTTTTAATTAATGTATGGTTTCAGGAAAAGGCCCATTCCCGTTTTATAGGGTTTCAAAAACATTCCCTTTCCAAGTGCTACAGCTTCCATCATTTTATTATGACGTTGAGATTCTTGTAATTGCTGCTTTGCGGATTTTGCATCATTGACAGCCTTAGCAATACCAGCAGCACCACCAGACAAAGCACCAAGGGCTGATAGGCCAGCAAAAATTGGGATTAGTGGTAGTATACCTCCTTTCTTCGGTATCTTTACTATACGATTTGGCGGCTTTTTTACACCTTTTTTCAAATTTTGTGCCTCCCTCAACGCTACAAGTATTGCTTCTCCAAAGGTAGTAGGTTTTTGATCTACCACACGTTTCCCTATTTGTTTAATTGCGCTAGAAAAGCTAACTTTCCTTCTTTTTATTTTACTGCTCGATATACTTTTCGTTTTCCTCTTAGTCTTTTTTTTTTTTTTCTGATGCTGTGATCGTTGTTGTTGTTGTTGTTGTTGTCGGTCAATTGTAGCTCTTTTCTTAGGACTGACATTCTTCTTACGTACCATTTTCATTACTGAATTTTGATGTGCAGATTACTAGGTATTTATAACTTTAACTTTCCTAGGTATGTTACTATCATCATCATCATCATCATCATCATCATCATTATCACGATCATTATCATTATCTGGTTGAATCTTCCGTTTTCTATTTTTTTGTTTCCATGGATGTGGAATTACGTCACTCATATCTAACTTGCGTTGTTGTTGTTCGTTTTCTTCATTATCAGATTCTCTCTTACGTTTTGTATTGCATTTTTTCTCAGGAATTATAATTGGATCATCCAAATCTATTTTTCTTTTTTTCACTTTTTCATCATTCAATGAAGTACGAGTAGTAGTAAAGGCTGAATCCAGTTTCCTCTTTTTTGGTTTGTTCTTTTGTCCTTCTTCTGTTATATCAATGTCCATGTATTCAATTGGAGTCTTTGGTTTTTTTCTTCTCTTGATTTTTTCATTTATGCTTTCTAAAGCAGACTTTGGTTTTCTGCCACGTTTATTCTCTTTAACATTAGGTTTTGTTTTTCGTTCACGCTTTACTTTGAATGTTTCATGTTTTACTACAGAGTTATTTTTGGTTTCGTGTTTCTTGATTTCTCTCACTTCTCGTACTTTTTTCTCACTAGATTTACTTTTCTCCTTAACCTTCGCAAGTATATTTTTTTGAGCTTTTTGAGATTGTTCAGTTTGTAGGATCTGTACAGAGTCTTGAACCAGTTTTTGAGACCCCTCTAATTCTTTCGCTAATTTATGTAATTTCTTCAAACAATTGTTTATATTACGTTTTTGGTGCCTTTGAGAGGTTTCTTTTAAGCCCATTCCAAGTTTTACTTTAGCTTTCATAGCACCTGCTACAGCTAAAGCGGCGACCTTCTCCTTCCAAGACGAATCACTTGCACGAAACCTATTCATTGCTTGTTTTGCCAGCACCTTATCAGCCAAATGCCGATTACTCAGATCTTTTTCTTTTGAATAAAATATATCGTGTTGTTTACAAGCTTCATCCAATCCGTTCACACCTGGATCATTTCTGGCTAACCTTTCAGCAAGTTTAGTGCCAGGACCACAGTATCTGTACGTTGGGATGTGTAATTCTACAGGTAAATTATTTATAGCTGTATTCAGTAAGCCTTCACCACCGTAGTACTTCATAGCACATGAGTGATAACTGAACTGATATATTTAATCGTTTGCGTTACTAGTTATAATAATCTAGTTGGTTCATGCTGTTGATTAATACGCTGCTAGTGATTAGTACATCAACAAGTAATGCCTTCATATATTTGCGTTTCATGCTGGAAAAATACTGAGTTCACCATACAAGTGACTCTTCAATACACAAACATACGACAAAGAAAAATGCAATATTGTTCTGTTTGTGAAACGTTTACAATTTGGCTGTTAAATGAAGAATAGTAATATTTATCTCTCCTCCTCCTCCTCCTCCTACCCTTTCGGACAATATAAAAAGACAGTATGAGACTTAATACATATATATACATATATACCATTCAAAGGAAGAACACTCTCAGAGATGAATTGTCTGGATTTAGTTGAAATTGCTGCTGCTGTTTTAGCCATTCAGTTTTTTACACTAACAACGTGCTACCAGAATGAACCAGTTGTAGTTGCTGATCAGATATTCAACATCGAAGACGGAGTTTTCTACCTGTATGAGTTACATAATTATGGAAGAACAGAATTAAAGTCGTATCCAGCATTCTATTACTCAGGGAAAAAAATTCCCATCGACACAGAAATTAAAAATCAATACAATCGAACAATTGGATATGTAATTGGACAAGATCTGAACTATTATCCAGTCACAATGAAACGAAAAGGTACAATTATGTACTGTGGAAAATACAATATAAGGCAGTTGCTTCGACAGGGATACATTATTTTCAATAGAAAAACATATTCTATCAACAGTTTCAAAAACACATTCCATCATTTCGCAGCTTCAGATATAAGTTGTTTTATATACGATTAAATATATTAATATCATACTACCACCGTCGTTTCATTTACTTCCCATATTATTATTATTAGTATTATTATTATTATGACTTGAGGATGATTTAAATTAGGCTTGGCTAGGCGAGGCTTGTCTCTTGCATATGCATAAAGCTTTTCTCAATCACCACTACTACTACTCACTTTTGTGGGTCACGTGGTATTTAGGCCTTTTTTTTTATGCATACATGACGTCACGTTTTGGCACATCTCACCCTCTGGTCATTGGCGATACACTTCTTGCATGTCTGCAAAGTCTTCAGATGCCCAAGGTCAAATAGAGGGCAAACAGAACAGAACCTGATGGATGGGTTACCAAGTGAGTTAGAATCGATGTTGTTCTACTACTCATTAGATTTCTTTGTGTGGGGATTTCTAAAAGAAAAAGTGTACCAGACTCCCGTAACCACAAAAGATATGCTAATAGACAGAATCAGGAATGCATGTGATGAAATAAGGCCTTATTTGAATAATGCTATACCACGTTCGATCATTCGTAGATGTGAATTGTGTATTGAACAATTGGGTTTACATTTCGAGCAACTACTTTAGATTTTGTATGTTTCCTATCCAATAGCATTTTAGTTGTAAATAATTAATTTAATTTGTTAAAAATAATATTGGAAAATTAAACAAATTAATATTATGTTTTTTGTGTTTATTTGGAGTTAGGAATTATTGCTGTGTTTAAAAACACAATCTAAACGATCATCTTAATTACTTGTAATGCCCAAATCGAAAATGTAAAAAAATATTATTTTCCCATAAATAATTAAAAATGCATCGAACCTTAAAAATCGAAATATCTCAAAAACGAAAACTCACAGGAGAGCTTTTTCATGTTGAAAAGTGCGAAGAATCAGTTTCTTTATTCAAAAAGCAAAAAATTGCTCTAAGAAAAAATTTTCGGTCATTTTAATACACTACAGGTACAGTAGAGAGCGCCCTCTAGCGGCTACAGTAAAACTATGCCCATGGTTCGTTTTGTCGTACCAAAAAACCCTTGTATACCAATTTTCACTGTTATACATGAAATATTGTTCGAAATATTTAAAAAAAATCTATTTTAGAAAGTAAATTTAAACACCCTTTATTTCGGAAGCCACGCATTTTTCGACCCATTTAGATATAGACTTTATGCATTAATCTTGAAAGTGCTATCGAATCTTAAAGTTATGCAACAATAAAATGAAACACAGTGTCATATAGGCAGAATGAACCGAAAATAGAATAGAAGAATGAAATGACACATATATACTGCTGTCACCAAGGAGATGGTCAAAACACCCCTTTGCAGTTTACCAGCAAAGGCTGAATGGACCAAAAACACTAAAATTCAGGTATTCCACAATTAGTTTCGACTATTGTGAATAGTCTCAGTCCGAACTGCTGGTCACTCCTATTCAAAGGTAGATATAATTATCCATTTCTGACCGTATTTATTGATGATGTATGGCGATGCTTCCCCCTTATTTATAAAGTACTTGGCCAAACTTAAAGGGATGATTCCTCGGGCGTGGGCGTCACTATCGTGTCTAGCAGGAGCGTAGTAGTACCGGGATCAAAGCACCATCACTGGTACCAAAAATGCAACAGAACAATCTGCAACCACCGGCGGTTCAGATCCTCCAGAAATGTTTTCTGGAAATGAGTAACAGCATCGAAAAACGCAGCTCCATCGTTTTTTTGTATTTTGCGCCCATAGTCCCGCTGCTACTGGGTCAATTTTCAAAGTTTAAAGCTCTGCCATACTTAGCACGGTAATGACCCCTTGCCAGCAAACTCTGAACGGTAGAGCTAGAGGGATCAAACATTGTAAAACATGTAACATTACGCGATTACAATACTTTCTTGCCAGTTGGCCTCAGAACTAACAGGAAGCTATATCAGCACCGAGTGCCAAAGGTGACTTACTAATAGTACACACATGCGTTAACTTGTCGTTTAGCATTCTACTAATGTAGATGGAACAGTTTACACCATCGGTGTAAGTTCGGACCTACACGTGTTTTGCAAGGCTACAGTTTGAGTGACTCGCCAGTCCTGCAAAATGCTGGTCAGGACTTGACGAAGCGCATCGAAATGCGTTCCGTGTGAATAGCAAGTCGTCCCGCTTTTAAATGCGCATTTTTTTGCAGCGCGAAGATTTGACGCCTGGGTGTTCCTGTATTTAGCTGAGAGCTCCTCCTCTCCATCATCACTTTACTGCTATTAGATGGACCTAAGTTCATCCAATATCGGTAGAGAAATATTGGCTTATAAAACAGCTTCCGAGAGCACATATTAGAAAAGTATTTCTGAGTATTTTCTCAATGTTTGGCTACTTAAAGTTATTGTAGTCAGTCCATGAGACAAAAGATGATAAAGATTCACGTTCCGCAAACTCACCCAACTCTCAGACGGAGTAAAGCTGTTTGAGTGCGGCGAACTTAATTATTTTTCTCTCTTTAATCTCTGTAATTGAAGAGAATTAAAAACTTTCCAGATAAGTCTGGCATCTGCCGCTACTGATATTATCTCGCTGGCGGGCTTCGAACAGACTCTATCCCGCCTCCACGCCGCAGTCTATCGACTTGGTTTGCAATCTGCTCGATTCTCTTTCAGTTCGTTATCATTCTGGAATATTGGCAAATAATTTATCTGGATTTGGAGCGCCATGGAATGGAATATCTTGCTAGAATATTTTCTCAACATCCGGTTGTACCTTTCCTTTCAGTCTGCCTTGGTTATGACCAAGAAATTGATTTTGGGATTGAAAACCAGAGCAAGAACTAAGACAAATTTTATGTCCTGCGTGTCCCTTTCGAGTAATTAATTTCCATCCATACATGGTTTGTTTTGTTGCACAGTGGACCATTTACGCTGCCCGCTGCCTCAATGAAACGAAGTCACATTTATGCAAAATAGTCATCGAGAATTTCGACATAAGTGTGCCAGCAAAGCCGAGAAGGCCTGATGTGATCCTCTATATGTCTGATATGGCCGCAACTTCTTGATATATGTTTGATTGCCATGTTCGGTTATCTATCACCAATAACTTGCGTGAATTTTGCTGACGACACTACCTTAGTTCAGTCGCAGGGAGACAAAAATGTGCTCATTGAAAACACGGAGTTAAAACGAGAAAAATGGTTTGCGGCGAACTGTTTACAGACAAAACTCAAAGGCCGATTCTTCACTTAACAATCGGCTGAACGAAAACGAAATGGTTCCTCTTGTTGACATACAAATTGGTGGTTCTCTTAAGTGGGAGGCTTATGCAAAAAACCTTCAACACGGCTACTCATATTGCGACAATCAAAAAGTATCTATAAGAAATCAACGCATATTTCGGCATATTTCACTCGCATCTGAGGTATGGCGTCATGATTTGGGAAAGATCATCTCACGTTGTGCATGAATTCGAAATGCAAAAACGTGCAGTGAGCAGACGCTAAGTTCAAAGAGCACTTCAAACCTATCTTCCAAATGTTGGGGATTCTGCCGCTGCAATGTATCCACATACTTCTACACTTTGCTGCGTTTTGAGCCAAGTGAATAAAAAGTAGTAAACACTAGGAAGTACTTTTTAGTAAAGTAAGGTCTGTCAAGTAAAAGCAAATACTTAATTTAGAGAGAATAAGCGTTTACTTCTACAGGGTAGCGCTTGCTGGAAAAGTTGAAGTAATTACTAGCAAGTATTTACTTATAAACGTTCCAATTTAAGGATTTGCTTCGCTACACCAGTACTACGTATTACAAAAATGTTATAAATTTAAAACTGCAATAATATCCTCGCGTTTTCTTACTCCTGTACGGCGCAAACGGTTACCGTCATCACCTTCCTCGTCTTCATACATTACTTCGTCCAAAAATTCATCTTCAAAGGCTCCTTCTTGGTCAAAGTCATCGGTCAAATATATTGCTATATTATGCAGTACTGCGCATTTTCGGGACCTTCCCACTTGATACCCTGACAGTATTGCTGAGTTTAGGAAAGCGTAGAAATATCTCCATTTTTGTTCTTGCAGATAGTGCTCCGCCTCTGCGTTCATTATTTTCTGGCAGAAACTCGGAACATAAGAAATCTACACTTTCTGAATCAAACCTTAACAAACGTTTTGACTGACTAGGGCTAATATCTTTTTTTCGATGTT